CAGTCTCAACCATAATCCATGAAGAAGGCCTCAAAGCTCTTGGGAAATTTTCCTTCTTAATGGAGGAAGGAACACATAAAAGGGAACTATTTAGATTTTTTAGGGCTTTATTTGCATTTTGAATTGAGGGAAGCCCTTTGGGGAGATGAGGTAATGATTCATAATTATTATGATGAATCTTTAGAGGGGTTACTTTCTTTCAAACATTTTACTGAAATGGGAATTTCAAGATGCATGACTGGGATTTTTAAAAGTCATAGTAATATCCACATCTCTTTGCTACTTCCTTGGTTTCTGTGATAACACAGCTAGTTCTGTATAGTAGTGATCAGAACAAGACTTCCTAATGTAAATGAGTATATAAATATTTTTAAGACAATAATAAATAAACAAAAATCAAGACAACTTTATATATAAAAATACATTAAAATGCAAAAAATCTGTAAACCCATTAAACTGATAAATGTGAAAAGAATTCAGTTTTGAACTGTGCCAGAGTCTATTTCTGAAAACCATCCCTCACATCAGTTATACGTTCCCATGCAAAACTTCTGGCCTGTGGTATGAGTACTGTGACTTTAAATTACAACAAAATACTTTAGTTTTATTTTCCATATAAAAATGTTGTAAAGCTCTTGTCTTACAAAAATATTATAAAGTAAGCAAACTTTTGATAATATTTAGAAGGCAACTGAGTATCTGCCAGCTTCTTTGTTGTGAATATCTTGAAAATAAAACCCTTCAGTATTTTTCCATCTTTCTGTAAGCTCACATAATACAGAAAAATTACCATTTTCTTTTAGCATTTGGGTCTATATAACTGAAATTGGAAGCATGTTTCAAAGCTTTTGGCTTCGATGTGGATGAGGCATGGGTCCAAAATTGTCCAAGAGATGCAACACTTATATTTGGAATTTCAGCAGTTTAATTCCACCCGTGATCTTTACAGTTGAGCTCACACTTTTATTCTGGCTGTTTTGGGAAAACTTATTCTTATCTGTTTCAGCAGTTGAGTTTGCATGCTTCTGCATTAAAGATAGATTAGAAGTCAGATGTCTTTTAACATGAATTAACTCTATAGATAGAACTTGGGCCTCTTTTACTGGTTAAAAGGACTGTGATAATATAAAAGGTCTGTAGGAATTTTGAAAACAGTAAGGTGGCAACCAATCACTCTGGAAACTCAGAAGCTGAGGCAGGCAATTCTAACATTGCCTTTAAGAGTGAAATCCACATTATGTCCTCAATAGGCATTTGAGAGTAAAGCTGTGGGTGGGGAGCACAGGTTAGGTCACGTAAGGCCACGAAATGGTACTGCATCTCCTGAGGCAGCAAGAAAGAGCGTACCTCAGGAAGTACTTCAGCACTATGTCATTTATCTCAAGAGTTACAAAACAAGTTGGATTTTGGAGAGTTTTTGGGAAAGCGCCCAGTGGGAAAAGTTTGTTCATCTTTGGTCTGAAAGGTACAGTGTGGTTTTTATGCTATGACAGCGTGGTGGGAAAATCACGCTTGATTTTTGCTAGGTGATTATGGCACTTTGTAAAATGGCACTTTAATAGCTCTTTGAGTGCTTAGTGTATACATCTCATTGAGGTCAAAAAAGTAATCTGTGGTTGTACTGAAAATTACCAGAATGTCTGGAGAACCTCAGCTGATTAGTAAGAACGACTGAAAATTCTTGGCTGGTGGGAAGCTATGCAACTTTCAAGTGGGTGCAAATGTGTAGTCCTCCATTTTAAAATGACTGTGTAGAGATGATACCTCTTCAGCTGCCAGAAACGTGCTCTAAAAGATAGATGTCTGAGATGTCTGAGTACTTGAGAGACGAGCATTTTGCTAGTTTTTACTTCTGTGAGTCTGCAAATCCAACACAGACAGGTTGAGCTGGACTTCCTTCATTTTATACATCAACAACAGAATTTATTTACTAAACTTCAATCCATTATACTTTGATGAAATCAATTGTGGAAAGCAAAAATCTTCATATTGTGGCTGAAATACAGGAAAGATAGGACTCCGCTTGTCTCTCACATCTCATGCTGTATTTGCACATAGATGCTTTTATGATTGTGTACTGACCCTAGAAAGCACATTGGATATGGGCAGATAGATAGTAATAACCTGATTTTGAAATATGACCTGTAGTTTGCATTAATTCTGATTTTTTTGCACTTATAATTTATCTGCAGATATAAGTTAATACAATTAAATAATTTAAACATTTTAAATACTTGATTGTGCCCATTTCCCTGTTGTTGTTGTCTGCAAAAACAGATCATACCGATAGACCCAAATTCAATCTCTGTTTCTGCAGTCTCTCTACTGAGCACTTGTTATTGCCATATTTATTGTTAATATTATGTTGTTGCCCTGAGACTGCAGATGTTATTTGGGTCCATATTAAAATGTTCACTGTTGCACAAATGAATGCAGTAGAAAATAGTTCTGTGGTCTAAACAATCATCCCAGGAAAAAAACAAAAACAAAACCCAAAAAACCCCAAAACAAAACAACAACAACAAAAAAAAAACAGTGGGAGGAGGCCATGGTATCATATCTCATTGCTGTAAAAGTCTTGAGATAGTGAGAGAACAACTGTATTCCCGGAAGTTGCACTAGACCCATGTCTAAGTCTGGAACTGAGCCTAAACCCTTGTCTAAGTGCAAGAATAATTTCTCTTTGGGGCTTAAGGTATATAAAAATGTATGTGATACCTAGAATGGGATCTGAACATCCTCACTATAGGGTTACACATTATCTCAAGTACAGTCTAGCAGTTCGAATCCATGTCTGCCATCCAGCTATATAAAGCAAATGGCATATAAAGGATGCATTTTTCTAACAAATAAATTCCAAAATGAATTGAACTTTTCACAGTCTAAATAAATTGTAAAAATAGTACCATTTGATATATTGACCTCTGAAAGAGCAGGAAGAGCATTATCTGCTTAGCTGTGGTTCTCCTTGGGACATCATGCCAGTCATCATTAGATTCTTCACACTTCAGTACTCTCAGCTTCTAAATCCTAAATTCCACCAGCAAAGGTCACTACAATGTTTAGTAAGGAGAGAGATTGCCAGTCTAACTGATTAAAGGTACAAATTGCAGTGTGTGATAGGATTCAAAAGATATAGAAAAGTCAACGGATATTTAGCTAAATATGCTGTACTATTTTTCAGGTAAATGTACGGAGTATTCGAACAAGTAGTTCTCCATTATCAACTGCTTTGCCATTTTAAGAGACTGATCACTTAAATCCCTTCAGAATAACAGATTTTCTTTTGCATATCAGGAACAACTTGGTTTTGTCAGGTTTTTCTTTTTTTGAAAAGGAGAAATGTACTAGCTAATGTCAAAAAGAAAATTAGAGAAGCTGATGCATAAAACTTCAAGGAAGTCAAGGTGATGCCCTTAAAAAATTACTTGGAGAGCTTTGGCATCCATTTAAGAGTTTTGCTGCATATTTGCTGGGAAAGTTTCATCTGTGATTTGCAGATTCACTCCTTTCATCATTTCCCTGAAGCCCAGACAGTTTCATCGGTTCTGACATAGAGTGAACAATTGAAAACATTCTTCAGTAAAGAAATATTCCAAACTTCACTTACACAGTTGAAGGTATGGGAAAAAAAAGATGGTTTTAGGCAGTGAGACGTGAAGGACAAGTGGTAGGCCTGTCACAGATGCTGATAGTTTGGCGATGGTTGTACATCATCTTCCCTTCGTTGGCTCGTGGACCTGTCTCAGCTGAAATGCAAACGTGCAAAATGACACATTTATTTTTCATCTTAAACCTTGATGCTTTCAGGCTTCCTGTGCATCAATGATTTGTTTCATTCCCCTATGTTCACCACAGATGTGCTGCCACCAGTGCCAGGGCAAGGAGATAAAACCGCTACTATGCTTTCTGATGGAGCCATTTACAGCAGCATTGACTTCACCACAAAAACTAGTTACAACAGTTCCAGCCAAATAACGCAAGCCACGCCATATGCCACCACCCAGATACTGCACTCCAACAGCATCCATGAGTTGGCTGTCGACTTACCTGATCCTCAGTGGAAAAGCTCAATTCAGCAGAAAAATGACCTGATGGGATTTGGTTACTCTCTCCCAGACCAAGGCAAAGGCAACAATGGTAATTACAGCTCTTATTTTCCAGAGCCCTTGGCTTTATACTGTATCATCTATGCATGAATTAGAAAAATCTTTTTAGTATGTCAGACGCTGTTGCTATTTACCGTAACTAATGCTTACACACCTTGCATGCGTGCTGAACCTCACACAATCACAAAATATATTGTTCTGTGCTTTTAGTCCTCTTTGTCCTGTGCTAATCACCAAGCCATCTGTGTTCCATTAGGCTAGGATAGGTGTACATTTTAAAAAAAAAAAAAATTACAACTCGCTGCCCCACCCCATCCGCTGTTGACTTGCTAACTGCATGTGTTGCATGTGCTTGTGCTGTCAACTAATCACACGATGCCACTGTGACCTTTGCCCTTTAACCCTTAGCCTTGCTTTACATCCCTGACTACCGCGTGGCTGAGGGATTGGCTAATAGATTGCCACACAACCAGTCACAGGATTTCAGCACCACCAGCTCCCACAACAGCTCCGAAAGGAGTGGCAGCCTCTCAGGTTGGTTCCACCGCCGTGGGTGGGTGAGGGACGGAGGGGTGTTGGTGAGCAGCTCGCCAGGGAGGCAGAGAACCTCCCAGGGGCACTTTGTGGATAGGTATGAGGGTGCCTGCCCACGGGAACGTCAGCGAACAGCGTCATGTTGGCCTCTACTGAAAAAATAAAAGCCTTTTGTAGAACCTATTTGGAGATAATGCCTATGTGGGCAACCTGGTCTAGTGGAGGGTGTCCCTGCCCATGGCAGGGGGCTTGGAACTAGATGGTCTTTGAGGTCCCTTCCAACCCAACCCATTCTATGATTCTATGACTTTACAATTGGGGAATCCTCCCAACCAGCGCTTGTTGTCGCAATTGCAAACCTTGCCTTGTCACATCCTTTCCCTGACAGCACAGTTCATGGAGCAAATATATTTAGGCATCAGTCCTCACTTTATAGGTCTCCCCACACTGAGCTTCATGAGGAGATTAATATTTTTGTTGAGTTGTTAACAGATTCCGCACTCCCACAAGCTGTTTCTAAATGCTGTTTTTCAGTGAAGCAGCTCAGAAATAAAAGTAGGGCCCTGCAAAGATGACCGGAGTTTCAGAAATTGTGCCAAGTCTGCATAAAAACAGAATGTAAATTTTATGTGTGTGCTGCATGTTATATTGGAAACATGACACATTTTCATTGGATGAAAATGATTGTAGTACATGTGGTTGTGTATTATATTTCAACACACCTTTTTCTTGATTTCTTTAATTTTGCTTACTTGTTGCTTATGTTATGTATAACTATGTCATTTTTTTTCCAAGACAAAAACTGAAAAGCCAGCAATAAAAATGAAAGTCTGCTATTTCACTTAACTGAAATACGAGAGAACTGAAGGGACTTAAATTTCAAATTTATACTATATCCATAGCCTTTTGAATTTCCACTATAAGTTGGAGCAATTGCAACAGTAACAGATCAACCCTAGAAATGCCTTCTTTATGTTAATTTAAATGACTATTCAAATTGAGATTAGAAGCCTACAGTCATTGGCCCATAACTCAAATCGTCAAATGTATTTGCAAGTCTTGTGTTTTCATGGGGAATATTAGCTGATTGGAGTGAGACAGAAAAATAGGCTTATGGTATTGACAGAGAGGTATCTGGGAGCTAAGTTCATATGATACTTCAAGAAAGGTTCTTGTTCCTTGTATGCGAGATGTATTGGCAAGTAGCTTAGGAAATTGACTTGCTCCTCTGGCTGCCTGAAAATGCAAAAATTGATATGCTGAGGTACATATGTGCCAGTTATCAGAGGGCAGTATCACACTTTAAATGTGTTGACAGCTACAGCTGCCTTAGAATTTTCTCAGAAAAGACAAAGTTTCATTGGAAAATGCCAGTTGATCAAAAGCTGGACTGTGAACAAATATTTCAAGCGAAACATATTTTGTGTCGTGTTTCTCAGTTTGAAGTAAATTTTCTGATGACACATGGGAACTTCAGGGTAGCCCGTCTTTCTATGGCCAGGACGCTCCTGTTGTGATCAAAGCAGCTCACACCTGGATGCTCCAGTGCTCAGATGAGTGTCAGACTATTGGACTGCAGAGTCAGTATTTTGCTGTCCTTTGCCCAGTAATTATATCTTTAATAACAGCTAATTGTGTCTGTAATACATGAGAAACTGGGGGAAACCTTCAACTAGTCTGATAATTAGAGCATCACTGGAATCGGAGACCAGCTTTGATTATGTAGTCCCCATCAGGGTGAGCAGGAACTTGTTCTCTCACTTCCCTGGTTAGTACTTTAAGTACTACTTGTTATTCTAAGTTTCTGTCTCTGTCAGATGAATATCGTGAGGAATCCTGTCCCACTGTGGAATGGAAAATAGTTAAAAACTCAACTTTGTGAAGCAGGGAAATTTTGTGGCTGTACTTTGCACAGCTCCCAGCTCATGTCAGTACTATGATCATCAGCCCGATTGGCAAATTCTTCTTCCAGGACCTGATTCATCTAGAGATTTAAACAATATAATTGAATTCCAGTGTGAGGAGACATTGAAACATCAAGCATGGGGAAACAAGGCTTCGGTGCAATGGTTTTCAAACACACATCTGGCATTATGCATTAGGTGTCTGTTCCACTAGTCTGACAGTGGAGTAACTGTGCCCATGGGGACAGGAGAGAAATCTCCTGCCCAACTGTATGGTGTAGGCTGCTTTCCTTACCAGTAATGACCTTGGAGTTTCTTTCTTTTATTTCTTCATCTGAACAGTTCCTCAGCTCGCTGCTTCACTCTCTAATAGCTCTGTTATCTTTGACCTTTCTCTCCAAACACCCCCAAATCCAAGTGGCTCCATACTAGCACCCCACACATCCAACCTCCATTTTACCGGTCTCCTAAGATTACCAGGATGTTACACTTCCAAAGTCTTCCTCTCCCCCTCAACTAATCTCTAAGCTGGAGTTCTTTTCTGCATTTCTCTTCTCTGAGTATTCCTAGTTTAAGACACACACACACTTATGCATGTGCTTTCCTCCCAAAGCAGCTGCCTTAACTTTTGTTTGCTCCTACTCCTGCTGACTTTTCAAAAATTCCCCCATGTCCCACAAATTAAAATTAACGTCCTTTCTTTGTAATGTTCTGTGACCCTATTTCTAACTCTGCTTTCTGCCATACCCGTGCTTTGAAAGCTTCGATTTCCCTCCATAACGTTCATGTATTTGTTCCTCCGTTGCCACCATCACTGGGGTTTCTTTTCTGTTCATCAAAATGTTCTTTCCCTTTTCAAGAAAGCATCTCTCTCTGCCAGGCTACAAAAGGAGGGAAGAACCTGTCTTGCATCCCAATAGATGAAATATCAGCTCAGTTCACACATAGTGAATGACAGGTTCTTGGCTGGACTTATTATAAATACTCCAAGACAAAGAAGGAAGAGCTCTGGTCTGGAATTGAGTAGTGGAAACCAAAGTCTTGTTTGCAACATGCTGCCAGCCAGACTGATTAGAAACCTTGCCGGACTTGTTGCCTGTCTCTAGCAGCTGCATCAGGAGGTGAAAAGAGAAGACTTGGCTACTTCTGAATCATGGAATGACTTTGTTTCTTCCCTCTCTATTTGTTCCTATTTTGGTCCAGCTGACATTTGGAGATAACAGGAGAAAGCCACTGTCTCTCAGACGAAAGGCCCCGTGACACAGTGCTTGTCTCTATTGCTAGAATTGCACATCCTTCTGGATGTCTCTGTGCCTAAAGCTAGAGCCATGGTGCCTGCCAGTGCACACCGTGCCACCCTGCCTTGCAAGTCAGTTGTGATTTTTTTGATTCTGATGAGAAGTTTTTGCATGGGTTTTCAGTTTTGGCTGATCCTTATAAATCAGCAAGAGACATCAGTGGGTAAGGTGGATTAGACTGTGCTTTCTGCAACAGGCAAGGGATGAGTGACTGCCACCTGGGCAGCCCACTGAAAAAGCATATGACAAACCATTCTTCCACCCAACAACAAAAGCCACAACAAAATAACAATAAATAAATGGGTCTCCAAGCAGTCAAAGGATTTGAAATCTTGTGCCATTCTTCCTCTCAGTGAATTCCTGACAAGAAAAAGGAGTCAGGGCAAAATAAAAGAAGCTAAGCAAGTGGGAAGAGAGCTAGTTCTGTAAGATCACTTTCCCACAAATGGAAGTGTCCCAACAGTGGGTACAAGGACAATAAGAAAAGAGAGCTTAAGCAAAATGCATTGCTCACCTCGTTTCTACCAGCCTCCCCCATTACAGTTGTACGTCAGAAATAGAACCTCTTCTCCGTAGTGGCACTAGATGTTTGAATCCTGTGAAACAGCTAGTCCTAAAACATTGCAGATGACTTCCTGATGTTTTAAAAAATGTAACTTAGTAAATTCCTATCAGCAAAACCCTATTTCTTTTTGTTTTGACAACTTACACTTGTCATTCTGGCTGAAAGATATTGAGTCTAATGACAATTTTTTTTAGATTGTGTCCTTAACCTCTGTGTTTTCCACAGGAAGAGATTATGCAAAACAGTATTATAAGCACATTGGATTCTGACATTTGAAATAATTTGCTATAGTCTATTATATTTTTCTCTAACAGTGAATTCAAGAAGTCATAAAGCAGACATGAATAAATCAGTAAATAAATTTCTGATATAGCAAAACATGTCTTTCCTTGGTTGTGCACTACTGTGGTGCAAATGTATGGAGTTTGAAAAAGAAGTGATTTTCAGCAATTATTCAGAATATTTTTCCATTCCATTCTATTATTATTTATAACCTTGTAACAGCATTAGCACGTTGATGCTGATTCTGCTGATATATAAATACGTCTTCTTTTTTGGGGCACACCATCTGGAATCAGAATTCTTTCAAAGAAATGTAAATAGCTAGCTTTTTTCCCCACATTATATCTCTAACATTTTATTTTTCCTTTTGGATTTGCAGGTGGCAAAGGAGGGAAAAAGAAGAAGAACAAAAATACTGCCAAGCCCCAGAAAAATAATGGTTCAAACTGGGCCAGTGTTCCTCTCCCACCCCCTCCCGTGCAGCCACTTCCAGGCACAGAGCTGGAACACTATGGGGTGGATCAGCAAGAAGCAGGGTAATTTTTTTCTTTTTCTTTTGAAGAAAAATCTATGGTTTGCAGAGATGAGGCTTTTTTGGAAAAAAAAAAAAAAAAAAAAAGAAAGAAAATTTGCGTAGTGATGATATTATTCTGTTTTGTTTAAAAAAAAAAAAAAAAGAGAGAGAGCACCTGATCCTATAGACTTATTCAAGGCTATGGAGGAGGAAGGTTTGAATAGCTTCTCTTGATAGTGGCTAAAGATGGAAATAAAAGTGACCTTGCTTCATCATCATGTAGGGCTTCTCTGTTTACTCATGCTGAGAAGTATCTCACTTCATAGGTAGCTTAATTGAATTCTGTTGGGACAGCTTGCAAATGATGGGACTCAAAGTGAGTAAGGATGACATAATCTGGCTCCTTGTATTTTTTCACTGCTTTGATGTTTAAAAATATTAGAGTCAACAGAACAAAAAACCTCACACTAAATTGGATTAATTTTAGAAGATCAACCAGTGGATAATAATCTTCTCATCAGCTTTTAGAAGAAATTTCACAGTTGAGGAAGGCATGCTATTTATAGGCATTTTTTTATTATTTAAACAACTCTTGAAATTCTGGAACCTTACATTCATTTTTGGATAGCTTAAACTTGTTCTCAAGGACACAAAATCACACAAAAAGCACTAAATGAGACAAAAGAGACATTTCCTGCACAAGGAAGAATTATGGAATGCTGTTTAAAAAGTGAAATTATATGAAATAGCAGGTTATCAAACTCTAGGGGAAAATTAGAATATATAGAAAAATAGTTTACTGTGATCAGCTCTGCTGGAGCCTTTGAGAATCATTGTTCTGTTAAGGACAAATTTCTACCTGTTAAAATACATGGATTAATCAATATTTCCTAAGGATGAAATATCTGTATTAAAAATTGTAATAGCTTTGCTGAATAAAAAATATTTCAAGTGTTATCTCTTTTTGAAGCATGAATTGATTATCCCTACTTTTATAATGAAAATTAGAAGAATTAAATATTAAAATTTGAGTTTATACCAAGTCCTTCAACTCTTAAAATGAATAATAACTAACTGCATAAGTCAATGCAGTTCCTTTTAAAAAGAAGGTCCATTCAGGCTATATTAGAGTTAGAATTTCAAAGCAAATGCAAGGGAAAATGAATAACCTTACTGATTGGAATTTTTGTTTAAAAGTCAAGGCAAAAAGTACATATAATCGTTATGTTCTGTATTCTGTTATAAAAAGCTAAAATAAATTTAAGATGGTTTCATCATATAATATTTGTCTTTATCAGTTTCTATCCTTAAAACACATGTGCACCCATTTCACTAAAATAATTATGCTATAGAGGGAAAACAACATGGATTTTCTTTCAGGACAATGAAATAGCATAAAAGGTAGATGGAAGTTCCTTCTAGAGATATCCCTTGTGACACAGGGCTTGACTCCTCACTTGCGTAAAGTATCTGTTACTGAGCTGGAAGGAATGATGTTGGTCACCGAGACAACACTGCTTATTTAAGGATAAGGTATTCACCAGCCTGCCAAGTTCTGAAAAATTCAACTTATTTTTTCCTCCGATTATCTTCTGAATTACTCTTCTTTGGTTTTTTTGTAATATCTTATTAATGGTCCTTGTAGCAAGACCTTCTAATGTGTATTTTACCAAACAGAAAAAAAAAAATTTTGAAGATTAGACTTACAGTATCAATCGTGAGCTACAGTAATTTACAACCAACTCTGCCGAACCCAATAAATCTGCAATGGCCATACTTCCTGAGGATGTATCCAATGCTAATGGTCATTCCGTATTCAGGGGTTGATCTTGTTTCCGTGGTTTTCAACATGCTAAAATGGAATGAATCACAGACTGCGTTCCTTATGTTGCCTTTAATATTGACATACTGGGTAAAAAAAAAAAAAACAAACAATTTTTTTAAACTGTTTTGTTTTTCTTGATTTGCTTTGATGTATACTATGTATGACAAGTTCAATGTGTTTTAATTTTATAATTAATTACATGCAGATGTAATTATATTGTGAATTACAATTGAAAAATGCACTTCCAGTCAGAAAAACTGAAGACTTTATTAAAGAGCTCACAATGTGATATGAAAGGTGAACATTTAGAGCAATAAAATAAGGAAGCTGGCATCTAAACGGAGACTTATTTTTCTGTGCATTTCTTCCTACAACTCTTGAATTCAAGTGTGAGCTTCATTGGCATGAGTATCCCAAATAAACTAAACCTTATTTTGCTTACTAGACATTAAAACTAGTGGTCCACTGGCTTATAAATTGTAAAAGAAAATCCACAATAGCAGCAAGTAAAAAAAAAAGTCACCTTAGTCGTAGACAGGGATGAAAAAAAAATACACTCTTTGTTCTCTTTACCGTCTTCTCCCCAGAACAACTGAGGTTTGCTTTCACCTCCATTTTTCCATGAACTGCAACAAACATGTTAACCTAAACAGCTATTTTGTATAATGTGGTAGCTTGATGGTAGCTATACTGTTGTTTCCCTAGTAAGCTCTTTCCTGTGAAACTTTCCCCTTTTTTTATGGTTTTCTACAAATTCTGTGCTTGCTCCTTGGTGTCTTCCTTAATTTTCTCTGGTATATACCACAGAGTCTTTGAAGTTTCTATTTTTCCTGTAGTAGCTCTCAATCGAGCATGTTCCCTTTCCCACCCTTTTCAGAGAAGATGCTTTTGCTTGGTTTTATCTAATAAACTTGACAGTAAGGAAATGCTTATTACACATTCATCATCATCTATTTATATTTTTTCACCAATAATATGCATGATCTGAGCCAACCCCAGTAAAGGCAGTCTTCATATTATTGTCATTGGTTATTTTATTTCTTACTATTGATTCCACCTTAAAATGGAATATTAGCCACTGGATATCAATATATGTGACAGTCATTTTCTGTTTTTTAAAAAAGTAAAGAAGGTAATACCCTTTACATCAAAAAAATCCTTTCTGGCAAGACCTAGAGAGGGAAGCTTTTTTGTTACAACAATGTGTGTAATGAAACAGAATTGTTATAGAATGTCCCCCATATCTATCAATCACCTCTATTTTGTATTTTGAAGGAAAAAATCTATCAGTGTAATGAACTAAGCTTTTTAATAGAAAAAGATTACTAAAGAATAAAAGTGCTGAGAATAGAATAAAAATTATTAGAAACAGAGAGAGTCATGTTTGTTAACCAGAACTTATTTAGGGATTTAATTATCATGAAATTAAAATCAGAGGTCCTTAGTGAAGTTAAGGTGCTTAGATTTTAATAAGAAGTACTTGAAAAAAGTTTAAAAGTTGCATGCATTTTCACCGAGTTGTATTTAGTCAGAAAAACAAAAAGAACATGGATGTGATCAATATTCACTACGCTAGTTCCAGAAGTTTTGATGACTGTATCATTTGTAGAAGGTGTAGTTACTATGTAGTCCATTAGGTTTATTAGCTTTTTCTTGCAGAAGCTTTTTTTTTTTTTTTTTTTTTTTTTATAAAATGCAGGGTAGAACTGGTGGCTTTTTGGACATCTCACATTATGAAGATAAAGGTTCTTGTACCTGAAATCTTGAATCTCAATGTTCTGAACTTCAGGCTTAGGCTCCTTTCCATTTCAAACAAAATCTAGGTAAAGATACAGCACTTGTGCAGAATCTTTTTACTAAGAAATCTTTTTACTAAGAAATCTTTTTACTATCAAGCTGAACATTTGGTGATTTGAAGCAAGTAGGGTCAAAAGGTGAGCACATCCAAAGCTCATTTATGCATTACTGAAAAGTCACTAAGGAGTATCTTTCTGCCCTGTCCCTTTTAAAGAAGAAGCCATTATACCAAAGCATGAGGCTGAGAGAGTAAAAGCAAGTGACAGAGCTGTTGCACTGTACATTTTTAGTAGCATGAGTTAGGACGGTCCCTTCACCCTTGGGTGGCAATGTCATGAGTGCATGCTGCAAAGAAAGACAAATTAGAGCTAGTCATATCTTAATTGTCTCCTAAGGAATTGAATATGTATCATATAAATTTTCTCAAATCTCTGTGTTATGAAAATGGTAACGATCGTTCATTCAAAAGCTCCTAAATGCCAAGTGTTAACATGCAGCATTTGTTTGCACCTCTGTGCATGAACGTATGTTTATGTATCTATGTACAGTTATATCTAGATATAGATTTAAAATGATACCAGCCCTAATTACAAAATATGTCTTCCACAGACTTTTGGATGATTAAATCAGGTGGTTTTAGCTATCCTGAATCTGTACTTTTAAATATAGACTTGAATAAAGAAAAAGTAGTCTAGTTAATTTTAGATATCTTGGGATTTTGCTTCAAGTAAACATTCTGTTCATAACTCAGGTTTTGAAACTTCTCTGTGTCAGTGTTCCCAGCCTTTTTGTAACCCAGCTTCACACCTGAGAAAATTGGCAGTGATTCATTTTTCTCTTGGAAATTGCTAATTCCTTCCTTCCAAATCAGGAGTCTTAAAGGAGTATTTTAAACTGGTGTGAGAAATAAATTGTCTAACACAATGCATTGCCTGCCTGCATTGCTAACACAAGGGGTGTACCTTGTCAGCAGTCCTTGAAGGTGGAAAGAAGACAAAGTGACTGAGATGATGCTTGGGGAATGGCCTTTAGAGTGTGAGGTGGTTTGACAGTGAAGGAGCTGTGAGAGCTTTTGGTTGTCTGATTGCCTTTTGAAAAGAGCCATCTAACCTGAGGTTATTTTGGAATATACTGGGAGTTAAGAAATGTGTGCAGATGCCCAAGAGATTGCAGACTGACTGGATGTTTTGAAGATGGGAAGAGCAGACAGTGTTGAGATTTGAGTGGTGTGGTCGTCAGCAGAGCTGTGAACAACTGAAGTTGTGTTCAGATTAGGGAATTACTCTGGGGAGATAATGTACAAGGAATGACATCAGTCACTGGGGCCTACGTGTCTTGGTGATGCTAGTGTCTCTAAGGACAGGATCCTGGGATGAATCTGTAATACAACACTGAATTGGATGACGTGCTGTGATGAGGACAGAGACAGAAGAGGATTGAATTGCTGGCAAAGCTTACAGAAGAAGTGGTAATAGAATATAAAGCTGCTGGTTCTAGCCCTGATCAGATGTAGCATCACCTCTTACACCTTTGGTATAAGACTAAAAATTGAACCACAAAAACCTGTCAGGATATCTCATACGTGCAGAGAGAAGAATTTGCTGTGGAAGAATATTGATAGCTGTTAATCTTTTAATTTACTTTGGGCAGGTGTGATTAAAGTGTTCAGAAATTTAGCACTGTCTAGGTAAGTCCCAGGAAATATTGGTTAGGAGGCGAGGTGCTGGCAGAGCTGTCAACATGTGTGCTAACGTATCTCATCAGCTGGTGCTGTGACGTAGCATCTGCTTACGGTCAGTGCTGCTGCAACATGAATGTATTGCAGATCACAGTAGATACCTAAATGGAGTGTGGAAAGACCAGAATTTATGTGGAAAGTGTAGCTTATTAAGCTACAAAATAAAAACAAATAGTAAATTTATAAACTAATAAAGGGCAGGATCGGAGTAAGGAAGTGCCTAAGTGCAACTATGTAAAGCTTGCTCTACCTTTTAAGAATGCTGCTATTTTCATGTCTAGGTCAATCTTCAGCATGTTCGCCTAGGTTAATGATCCAGAAAGCGAGTTAGTTCATTTTTGTTGTTGATTGTGGCATAACATTATCTAATCACCATTAACAAACGTGATAATGGATCAGTAATTTTTTTGTTGCACAGCTTGTTCAAGTTGCTTAGCTGTTGTGGGCAAAATGAAACGGATTCAGTAAGGACAATTTAAGCAATTATGACCCTATTTTCAATAAATGGTAAAGCTCACACTGCGTGCAAGGGTTCAAACTGTAGCAGAAATCCTGTATACCCTCTACTGACATCTGCTATATACTAATTTTACTTGGTTTTTATTGTAGATATGACAGTGATGGTTGGTGTCCACCTTTGCCAGTTCAGACCTACCTGCATCAGGGCATGGAGGATGAGCTTGAAGAAGACGATGATCGTGTTCCCACACCTCCTGTCCGAGGAGTAGCTTCATCACCTGCGATCTCCTTTGGGCAACAGTCAACTGCAACCCTCACACCTTCTCCACGAGAGGAGATGCAGCCAATGCTTCAAGCCCACCTCGATGAATTAACTAGGGCTTACCAGTTTGATATAGCAAAGCAGACATGGTAAATGTTTGAAGGGGGCACCTGCAGTCTGGGAAATGAAAGCGTAACAATAATTTATTCCTTGATGACATAAATATCGACTGCGTTCAGCAACATTTCAGTAATGTTTCCAAAGCAGTAAAATGAAAGAAGAAATAGCAAAACTGTATCTGCAGTGTGAAGGCCTTAAACATTAGTAGGTGCTTTTTAAACCATAATGCTTGGTCATATGTTAAGTCTTGGCTAAAAACATGTAAAAAGAACATTCCTCTGGAGGTTTACATATATTCAACTAAGTAGTTAACACTCGCCTACTGACAACTCTTATACGGTTCAGAGTACCCTCTTTTCAGGCTAGCAAAAGCTATTAATTTTTTAGCCTTTTAAAAAATATTGAGGTTCTAAATTCCTGATTAAAAATAATGCTAGTCACCTGAAATAGCAATGTAGCAGCTTTTCCCCTGTGTCACATGAGAACGAAGCATTTGCATCTCTGACTGTAGTTTGAAATACCATGAAAATTTCTGATTCAGAGGGAAAAACCCAGAAATAGCAGGAAGGAAGTTGTTTGTTAGAATTTACAAAATGGATCTAGCATTTGAGAATGCTTTATGCCTATTTAAAGGAAGAGCAAGCAAATACCACAGTAACATTTCCCCTGCAAAACAAACAGAAGCAATCTCTTCAGGGACAGAAAAAGAACTTGTCAACTGCACCAGGCTGGGGATACGGTGAAGGTCAGTTGCTTTCTCCATGTTCCCTAAGTGGCAGTTGTCCTTTTACAACTTTTCTATCCAGACAAAGCCCACGAATCTCGGAGGAGAGGAGCAGAGCTAGTTACTGAATGGCATGCTGCCAGCAGAGGAGCAGCCTTTCTTCGCTGGTAAATAAAGCCGCAAAGTTATTCAGCTTGAGCTACCATAAATAGATCAGGCAGGTAGGCAGACGGTGCCAAATCAAAGCCAGCTGTTTTCCCTGGACACCGTCGAAGCCTCGAGGCTTGTCTGCAATCTGCACTCAATCAACAGGGTACTTTGGTCCCTCTGCAGTGCCACGCTGCCAAGCACGGACCCCGGCCTGCCTGTGGGACAGACCCAAATCCCAGGCAGCAGCTAGACCTGGCCTATTGAAGGTAGCTGACTTCTGAGCCAGCACACAGATGCATACCCTGTCTGTACAGTCAATCGCTGCTGCATTTTGCAGCTGTTACCCTTTCTACGCCCTACAAACTGCGGGTGCCAGTCTGGGAGCAGATAACATAGCAGGACTCTGTAGCAAAGCCTCTTGCAGCTGACAGGAAAGGTCTTGCTCACTTTTTGGAGAAATGAAAATTGATTCAGAACTTTCATAATGTGCTTAGGAATATACAGATTTTCGCATCGCTCTTGTGTAAGGTCACAGTAATTGAGCTTGAAACTCTGAAAAACATAGAAGAGAGAAACTGTATTTTCATACTAGGACCTTATAGCAGGTATTGGGGTAAATACAAATGATTTCTGCAGTAGTTATGACATGGAATTGTTTAATATTTTCATAATGTTTGGCTGGATACATATCATGCTGTTCAGCAAATGCTGTTCAAAGTCAGTGGAAAGTCCTCTGTTGTCTTAAGTGGGAAGGAAGAGTTTTTAGTGGTCTTTTCACAAAGTTAACCTGTACGGTGTATGGGGCGGGGGGGGAACAGAACAACAAGATGAGACTGTCAGATAGGTTACTGTAGGAGTAATAGAAGAGAAATATAGAGACAAGACAACTAGAAATTTAAGAAAGAGCACATTAGAGATTACTGGAAAAGTACATAATCATTATGGCCTTGATCCAGCAAATCACTTAAGTATATGCTTAACTACAAGTACATGAGAAATTGACTTCAATTGTTCTATCACATGCTTAACATTAAGCATATACTTAAGTATTATGCTTGATTGGGAGCTAATCACACTGTTTATTGAGGGTTAGTTAGATGGTATTGCCCTTTAGCGCAGTGTTTTGAACACTGCATAGCTAAGAACCTAGTGTCCAGACAGAAAAGTATTCAAGAACTGCTAATCAGATGGGGGTTGTATATCAGAAGGGAAGCATTTGCTCTGCAAATAAGCTTCAGAATAAGCAATAATTTAAAACCTACACCAAGGTGGAGAGAGACTCCAGTGGTACATAACATTTATGGTGACATTCTCAGATGCAATAGATTTACATTATGAAAAAGAAAAAGCTGTTTGAATAAAGAGAATTACTGCACTTATCAAGTGTGGGCAATAATACAGCACAAAGCTTTCACTGAAAATATATTAGAGCTAGGAAACCAAACAGGTGACATTTGCAATTTTTCCGTTATGCTGCTGTCCAAGCAAGAGACCAGCAGAATCCTGGATCCTGTCCAGAGTGCTGCCGATTTGAATCAGGTCACAGCACCTCATGAACAGCCACCCAAGGATTCTCACATGCCTGAGTTAGCAATTTCAGGCATGGAACATGCTCTTATGCCAAGGCCGGTCATGCCTGGGTCCCTTGGCACAGCTTGCTCTGTAGTGGTAGTGTTGCCTTGAGAGCTGATGGTTGTTCTTTTCCTCTCTGGCCTCTCAGAGACCACGCAAATGAAACTCCAAGTCCTGTGCTTGCCTTTGGCCATTTAGCTATCCTGTAGGTGTTTTTTATCTTTGTTTTTCTTATTTTAATTGTGGTGGCTGCATGCAGTAATTTCACACATGCATGCCTTAATACTGCTGCAATTAAATCAATTAAACCACTTGGAATAAAGCAAAATAAAAAGGCCTCACTGATAATGGGTTCACTGGACTTGAAAATTTCTTCTGTCCTGCTGGTCATTTCCTCCTCTTTAGGGTAAGTTCTGCTTAAGGGCACCGAGTCTGTTTAAGCAGAAGGAGTGAAATTTAATTTTAGCTCAATGTGTGATTTGCAAGGTGGAATACTGGGTGAGACACTTATATGGTAGGTTGGGATTCAGATTTGTGCTTTTCCATGCACTTCCTACCTGATGTATGTAACCTCTGTGTACATTGTTCCTCATCTGTAAAAGGACAACCTTGACCTTCCCCATCTTACAGGAGGGGAAATATATTGAAGACTGGAAAGCACGCAGTTACTCTAGTATTAGAAGCTATGATGAATAACTGAACTGACTTTTCTTGAGTTTGACCTGACAAGCACATTTTGTATATCTCCTTCAGGACTTATCAAAAGACTTATCTTCTGTTGACTGTGGGGTACAAAGTCTCATCCATTCTGATGGTGTTTTCCTGTTTGTTTGTGTAGGCATATCCAAAGCAATACACAACCTCCTCAGGCTCCAGTTCCGCCCCTAGGATATGTATCTGGAAACCTTATTTCAGATTTGGAAACAGATGTTCCAGATGATGATGATGAGGAGGATGATATTGAAGAAGAAACTGTAGAAATCAGTAGGCCGCTAAGAGGTCTAGAGCATACTCCAGGCTCCAGTATGGACAATCTAGACAGCTCTGTGACAGGTAACCAAACACAGTTAACAGTGACAACAACTTGTTCCTAACAGTAAAATACATCATCAATCAAACACTTTCTGAGTGAAAATTTATTCCACTCTATTTCTGTAACATTTAAAATGTGTTAATATTAAACACTAAAGAAGGATTTGAAAATACTTTGCTTTGCTGCAAAATGATAAGAAAATTCATGAATTTTAAAAAGCTTTAAAGACTTGAAAGAAAACTCAATTATATCCTAGCTTTCATGAAGAGTTCAGTCTACTGGAGAAGCAAGCCAGTTACATAAAAAGGAGGGGGAAGACCTTGGCTTAGGAATATATAGTTCATAAATCAGGAGCAGCATAAAAATGTTATCTTAAAGCACTCTTAGATATTTTGCTGGGTAAATGCTTTCACAGATGAACACAGGGAAGTTAAAAGACTTCAGAATAAGTGTAGTTAAATCAGCACAACATTTATTTGTAGAGTAAATACAACATTTATGTAGGAAAATGTGTATTTCAAACCTACTTTGTATTGCTGAATTTAGTAATTGTTCATTTTCCGTGAAGACATTTAATTATACTGACAGTCCTTTCTTCACTGCTTCCTGCCCCTTTGCATGCCTTGGGAAGTTACAACAGGGATCACCAAAGGGGACCTAGAAAGGCATGCTAAACTAATGTACAGTATCTGAATGAATAAAATCATTGTTGATGAAATGCAGGCAGTGAAGGATATTTTTTGAAAAATACAGATTTTTATATGGACATAATGAACTTTTTGTAGACACCAGTATATTTCCCTTTAGGTTAAGCTTGGGCCTCTATATGCTATACTGTATCCATAATGTACAGCTTTATTTGAGACCCAGATGTACATAGGATCCATAGTTCATAAAAGCTAGCGGGTGCTTCTTCAGTCTTTGGTCTCTGCAGAAGAACACTGATTGTTAGTTGTACTTTAAGGGAGATTTGCTTGGTACAACTGACTACGATAGTGCTGCTGAATTTCATCTCATTGTTCCGGACCTTTGAAATTCCAAAGATTTTGCACCCTTACTTAAACATTGCTATTCTGAAGACACTGCAGGAATATGACAGTGATGGAGCATCAATACCTGTAATTTTCTTCTTTTTCCCTTGTTGAATTAAATAGTGTGTAGCTTAATCCCACTTTCCAGGTTATCCTTTACTCTATGGCCAGACTGCTTGCCAATCTAATTAAGATTTAAGAATTGTATCTCTGCTGCTGCGATTTGAAATCCAGATCCAACTGAAGGCCGTAGAGTTAAAGTTTAAATCCTTGAATTGAGAAGGTTAACTTATTAGTGCACGAGTATGTTAAGTCACTTTGCTTGAATTTCTAGTCTAATCTCCTTCAGGCTATAATTCTGCATATTTTTGCATATCTCACTAATGGCTCAGAAGCCTTTCCATTAGGAATGCAGTAACGGGTTTGCACTGGTAATACAGAAATAAATAAAAAAATAAATCGGGTGGCTATATATTTTCCGGTTGGTATGTATTAATATGTCAACATTGAAATATCTCTAAATCAGAAAATGAATGTTTTTCACATTTGCATTTTCACGTAATATTTTGGACCACCCCACCTAGGGCGAAGTAAGGAATAGCTGCATTTCTGCTCCGATTCCTAGACTTCTGTGCCTGTTACAATTTATCCTTTTATGAATAGCATTCAAGCTTATTCTAATAGCTATAAATCTTGTTTAATTATTGGAGTGTTAAATATTTAACTGTTGGAGTGTTAAAAACTTCCTGGTGTATTTTTTTGGAAGAAATTGGGCAGAAGCCGGTAACGTGGACTGGGAGTGTACTTGAGGTAATCTAAATGCACTCCCACTCTTTTCCACCACTATCTTGATGTGACCTCATCCAGCTGAAAATTAAGGTTTTTCTTTGCTTTTTCTTGTTTAATTACTACCTAGATCTGTTCCTTGGTCTGGTGCACCGCATGGCAAGACGTTTGCCAGCACCGCAGGAAGGGAATGTGCAGCTGGAAGGGAAGCAAAATGACAGGCTGCCCCTATAGACAGTATAGCCAACACTTAGATTGACTGAAAACAATTTCGGAACTACAGCCTTACAAAAATACAGTGTTAGTCTAAATGATTGGTAAAATGGCAAACTCTCCGAATAACAAAACTACTTCTGTTTTTCTCAGTTACTATAAGGGTGAAACCTCAATTTTCTGAGGGCTTGTTTTGGATTTGTTTGTTTGTTTCTAGGGGTGGAAGGAAATTGCTTATTATACTTGGGCGAATTGTTTCAAAAGAGAATTTTAATTTTTGTGTATCTCTTTCTGTTAACTCTTCCAGGCTGCTTTTACTGGTGTTAAGGAGGGTATATAAGAAATTGCATTCATTGTTTCTAAGCTGTTTCTCATTCTTTAATTTGATGATTGCATTTAGAATACTGTAGAACAACTAAATTGTTCTTTCTTGTACTGAGAATATATAAGCTACTTCTTTTCACAGGCTTTTTGGTGACTTAAACCAGCATTTTCCTAGGAATTTATATATACCTGGTTTTCACTTCTTTAAACATGATATTAAGAAATGGAGGTAAATGAGAACAACCGACCCAGATGAAGCAGTATTTCTGTTCATTGTGAAGCGTGCCCTGTGAGTTCAGAGTTCATAAGAAATCTAAATTGACATCCCTCAGTCCAGGCTTCCTCTGAATAGAGTTGCTGTACGGTGAGCAGGGCGAGTTTCCTCACCCTGTACTGTCAGCACGCCTCAGCGATGCTTGAAAATACCCACTTTTGGAGTGAAATGGTACTTTGTTCTTTATGGCTGAGCTGAGACTGAGGTTTTCATCCAATGCCAAATGTGGGATTCTCTGAGGAGAAACACTGGCGCTGCGTGAGCCGAGCTCAAACTGCTAAATTCCTCAGAAACCACAGTGTTGCTCTTTTAAACTCTTTAAAAGTCAGGTTGTCTTGCAGGCCCTTGAGTTTTAGTTACAGCTAACTGAAGATTCAGACAAGGATTTAATCTGCGCTATTAAGCTTTTCTCTTTGCAGGTGGCAGAGACATAATGTGGACATGTGTAATAAAGTAAAAAGAAAGGAGGAGTGCACAGTAACTATATCTTAACATTTTCCAGATATTGCAAAGAAAACTCAAGGAGGAAGGTTTAGATTTTCATGTTTGTGGGATGGAATATGAAATTAAAGCCAAAGTTTTGCTTCATTCCCAGCATGGTTTGTTAAGATACCTGACTCTAATTAAAGGCGGGGGGGGGGGGGGGGGAGAACACAGAGAACGG